TCTATCCAAGTTGATAATTGCGTTTTTGTATTTTCATCACTATAGAGTAATTGTTGCATAGTTTCTGTTGCTAGTTTTTGACTAATTGAAGTGTATAATGCTGTGACATCAAGGGACACCATTATTTCATTGTCACCTACTTGAATGTTTTTGATTTTCTCAAAAAATTGGATTGACAAATTGATAGAATGGCCACATGATGCTACTTTCTGCTCGTAGTGTGCTTATGAAGTAGTTAAATGAATTCAGTGGAGAAAGCAAAGTGGCAACGCATTTTGATTGGAAACTGGTAACTAGTGTGATGTGTCTAGTCCTTTCTTTGGTGCACACTGAATTCTTTTGGTCAGGTTTGCAATGTCCCTACCATTCTAGCTAGCTCGTCATCACGGTGCACATTGATTTGATGATATTGCATGGTTGGAGACAATCAGCAGGAAGCTCTAACTGACCCAGATTTCCTGCTAGTTGGTACTCACCAATCAGCGAGGCGTACCTGCAACCTTCAAGAAACTCATTTCACTTCTGAGATTCGAACTCACGTTACCCATTACTCCAGTTACTAACGTCCAATCAAAGTATCCACTACAGTTCTGCAGGTGATCAGTCACAAGCCCAAATAGGTCCGTGGTTACGTCTCTGACTGCAGACGGTACTGGGTGATGGGGGTTCGAATTTCAGGAGAGACATGAGTTCCTTCAAGTTTGCAGATACGCCTTGCTGACTGGTGAGTGCCAAAAAACACAAAACGTAGGTCAGTTACGGCTTCCTACCGATCGCCTCCAATCACCTAATATCATCAAAGTGGTAATGTTGAATGGATATTCATAATCCTGCTTTTCGTAGACATTTTTAAAAGGCCTTTCGCTAAAATAACTGTTAGTTTACCATGAGAACCTGGAGCGTTTATTCCTTTTCCACTAACACTTTCAGATCCCTAAATGGTTGGGAATTATAAATATGTCACGTTTGAGACCAAAGCTGGGAAATATTTTCGGATAGACATTTGCAGTTCCTTGGTGGTAACATCAGAGAAATTGCAACATAACGCTTTAAGAAGTGAATGTTACTCGAAGTATGTTCAATAATTTCTACCCGCTGTAAAACACATTGCGTCAAATTTAAAATTTATGGTCACTTGATATAATTAAGAATAATAAGTGAGTACCATTGAATAACAGGCTGAAGACTTTCATCAATGCCCACCTTCCATTCATAAAGACATTCAGGTGCCCAGAAATGGATCTCTAACAACAAACCAACTAAGAATCAATCGCCTAAGAATATGCATAAGGAAATAAAGATGGATTGAAGACCGTCAAATGACATTACACTCTAGACTCTGCAGTGGAACTTGGAGGGGAAATGGCGAGTTGGCTGTGGGTCCAAGGATGAGATGGAGGAGATCATGTAGTGAGGAGATGAAAGCTTCCAAGCAATTGTGGAGCAGGGTAAAATGAGGTGAGGAGAGCCGATTAAGATGTAGATGTATCACTGAATTCCAGGGTTTGACTAGGAATACTGTTAAATCACACCTGAAAGGGAACTGGCCTACTATGAGGTTTAGATTGTTGTTTATGTCAACAAAATATTTCAAAAATTTCCAAAGTCCCATCAGTCTTCCTTATTTGTCGAACTTCTACAAAAGAGTTTATCTGTTCGGTTTTTAATTCAACTCTTCAAGACATGTTTGAGTTCGCTGACTGTTTCACAGATATGAAAGTTGGCGAAAAGTGCATGATATCGCTCGATGTCGGTTAACTCTTCACAAATATCCTGATTACGGAGACAACGTATTTCCTATGCAAATACATCGAAGACGACAACTTTAATGTTATAATACTGACCTTCAGATTAAAAGAACTTCTGCTTAGATGCATCTTGAACGTCTAGTTCGCGTTCGAGTCTCAGAAGGGACATCAGTTCCTTCAAGGTTGCAGATACGCCTTGCTGATGAGTGCCAACTAGCACGAAACCTAGGTCCAAGACTTCCTGCCGATTGCCTCCAACCATCTAATAGGTCTAGTTTACATTCAGTGGTGGGATTTACAGGCAGCAAGTTGGCGTGTTTATGGGACCACCTTTAGGCTCAGTAACTGCAGATATTTTCATTGCCATTTTGGAATACCGTCCCTTGAAATGAACCATCGAAAGCTCCTTTCCGTAGAAAAGGTGTGTTGATGATGTTTTTATCATTTGTGATGAAACGTTTGACCTCAGTAATGTTCTCCAAGTTTTTAATTTTCACCTCTGAGCCAAAAAAATTTCTAATAAAGTAGAAACCGGATAGACCATCTCTTTTCTGGACGTCTTACTAATAAAGAAGGTTGATGGGACACTGAACAGATCAATCTTTAGAAAGCTTACGTGGAACGACAGATGGGTACTCCTAAATCTTAAGCGGGACCTGATTATATATTCGAATAACCTGCAGCGCTGAATCAGTAGATGAAGAGATAACTCCTTTTTGGAGGAGACTATTTGACAATGACTAGCTCCCATACTTTATATATAAACACATAAAACCCGAAATCAACAAAGAACACCTCAGCTCTCTGCTGAAGAAGATGTTACACAAGAATAAGGCGTCCAGAAGTGACGTTCTAATCGATATATTATTTTTGAATATCACACAGAGATACAGTTTAAACAACTAGAATATCGAAAGGACATTCTTTGCTTTTACATCAGGACTGATAATTTCTTACCTCCTAATGTTCTTCAATAACTCTAAAGATAAACTGTCCGCTACTATCAGTTCCCTATGAATATGCCAATCCACTTGTTCCTATGGATTGAGATATTTAGGCTGCCTAGCGGAAGAAGAAAGGCAGCTACAGAATAGTAAAAAGTGCTATAAGTGAATATATATTCAACACTGACAACTCAGTACTGAAGGAGAAATCATTCACATTTATCTTCGAAGGTCAAAAGAAGCCTGACGACGACGGAAAGCTTTCGTATACTTTGTATTACTGGGGTCTTAGCGATTCGAATGGAAAACTCCAATTTGTTCTCGTTCGACAAACTTAATTTACACACATGTAGGAAAATAATTGAGTATAATTGCGATTGTACAGCTTATCTGAACGAATTTACTGAAAAGAGACTCCGGAGCACTGTCGTATAGAGAAAGGAAGTCAGAGGCCCTACGTAGAATTCTAAATGACGCTGGAATTAGGGTGGTATTTAAATCAAACAACTCTCTCGGAGATAAACTATGTTGGCTTAAAGACCCAAAAGATCCAATTGAGGAAAATAATGTAATTTACCGAATACCATGTAATGTTGACTGTCAGTTCAATTACCTAGGTCAATCAAACTAGTAGATCGGGGTCAGTTAGATTATTGTAACATAAAAATTTAGTCAAATCTAGGATTTTGATTGACCCTGTTAAGTTAAATGACCCAGAAAAAACTGAGCTCAGCCATTGCAGTGCATTCACTCGCGTATAATCACAAAATAGGGTGACTGGGACAGGGCAAGAATATTGAAAAGTAATATAATTAGGTGGAGAGAGAGAGGGAGAGGTTAATTAGTGAAGGTTTGTTTATCGATTCAACACTGCACACGTGCACTCGAAATGACGCAACGCCTATACCGGAGATATGGAAAGCGGCAGCAGACAACAAGAGGAAACTAAAGAGGTAGAAAGATAGAAAATATACATAAGACAAATTGTGAAAAACCGTGTGCAATAAATTGTGCTCGAAACATCCTTTGGTTGTCAATTCTGACTTGCTGTGTGATATTTAAAATAAACTTATCTAATATGGAATTACATTCTACCACAGTGTCCAATTTCTACACTTACAATAAAGAGACTCTACTTCGAACCTTTCGTTATTAAAGTCTTTTAAACTTCATTTCTTCCGTAAATTCCATACATAGTTATGAACATCTGATAATAATTATTGATTTTATAATCAAGGTTTTTTATTTCCCAATGATAGAGAATCTCTAGGGATTTGGTCTTTTACATGGACAAAGTTGTTTCTATAAAATAAAATACCTGGAATGTGTGGCGTAATATACATCGGACAAACATCTCAAGAAATCAAAATCAGAAGAAATGGACCCCGTAGAGCATCTATTCGACCACCAAGAAATCCAGTTGGTGAACCAGAAAATCACCAACCATAGCTCTTCTACACACTATAGAATCAAGCCACTTCATATCAAGTGAAATCTAAATTGTCTGAATAGGAATGACGGACTGAAACACAATTTGTTCTGGTTACAACAACGCCTCTCTCCCCTATGAAATGATAAAATCAGCACCAAGGTGATAAGCAATTTCATTATGTAAACACACGCTGCTCTTATAGTTTTACACGCTTATCAAATGCAACAATTCACACCTCATTTTGTTATCTTTATGAATTGGCCAACTTGACAACGGAAAAATGACCCCATGGTGAGGAATGACGATTAAGTTGTTATATATAAGCTGAGATTTTGTAAATTCTGGTTTAATAATACTTTGATGAAGCTATTAGCAGCATTAAATAGCGAAACGTCAGTAAAAACAACAATATCGCTTTGTTTTTCATTCATGGGGAAATACCCAATGCCCAAATGTTTTCAAACTGCTAAAAGTAAACTTGGTTTGAAACTATAAAGACGTATGTACGTAAACTGAAAGTATATAGAAGTCAATTATCGAAATCTTTGGAAACGTTTCCAAACTAAACGTGTCACTGGCATAAAATGACATCATCCTCTGCAATAAACGTCTGAAATTTTATCTGCCCCTATCTAATCAGATTAAGTTAATCCACTTCAGGATAACCGCCTATGAATTCCGTCAATTTCCATGTCGAACACAGTTATCAGCTGTTCGCCTTTGTCAAAGAAAACACGCCTTCACCTTTTTAAACCATTCAGAATTAAGCAACAATTAAAAAAACAACAAGAGTTAATTCATTTGGACCAATAAAATAACAGTTCCGACTTTGAGCAATAGCCTTAATACGATTTTGGGATATATTTCTAGAGTGATCCTGAAAAATAAATAAATAAATAAATAAATAAATAGTCATAAGGAGTAGATTATTTACGATCCAGACTTGACTTTCAGAATAGAGTAATAACTTTCTCGGTAGGTGATTGTTACATATTTTACGTATTTTATGAGTTCATTAAATATATTTTGCGGTATTTTCATTATAAGTAGTATGTTTCATTTTCGGAAAATAACATTAGTTGAATTATTTATTTTCTTCCTTTGCTTTATGAGTGGAACATAAGTTTTCAGGTAGTAGTTGTGTTGTTCTTCTCTAGGGACTGGGGTTGCTAGCCTCACGCCCAACCTTCCTTCATTATCGAGCATACTCCTGGCTAAGCGAGTTTAGGGAGTGAGTTGGCTGGGCATCGAGCTCCAGACCACTCGAGCCATGGTTAGTAAGCATTCTACAGCTGAACTTCCCTTTTCTCATGATCTATGATATTCATCTGTTGACAAATCGATCTAACAGACATTAATGCAGAATATAACGGATCCATTTTATTTTTTATAGGTTCTCATCAGCTGTGTATAAACTATATAATATTTTGATAAAACCACTTGTAATATACTTCGTTCATCATCATTAAAAATCTGTCCTTCAGAAAGGATTGTTGCAAGAAAGGCACAGCGCAACAAAAAAATAAGGAGGACAAGATTTTCTCACATTGTTAGTTTATGTATATATTAAAAGGGTGAAGTTTCTCACAAAAAACGAAGATCATTCTTTCTATCATAGTCAAAAATCAACAAGCACATTCTATACGTTACCTTCAGCTTTGTATATAGACTCGCGTGCTATTGTGGGAGGACAGAAAGGATTGCGTACGTCAGATTCTTTTCCCATGTGTCAAAGAGGCTTCGATCAAAGGAATAGAATAGTTCGAACATGTCATTTACCGAACACCTGATAGACACGGGGGAGTATTCAAAATATTTCACAGACAAGACAGCTCAAGTCTTCTTCGGTTTACTGAAGTTGTCGCAATAAGAGGACTGAGACCTGACTTATTTGTGGGTTTAGAAGGAGTCCTTTTAGGGACTTCAATCAACTTGGTAACTCTCCCTCTCTCTTTAGAAACACTTTGTCTTCAAATTTCATCATTTGTTTCAAACCCCATCAGGTTTTCGCATAACCTACGTTTTAAACGTACACTGTCATCTTTTCATTAGACTTTGTGTACGCCAGCTTTTGACTTCTCAATCTTAACAGTTCTAATCACTATATTTTATTACTTCTGGTTACGCAATCGTTAGTGACTTATAGCCACCACCCTAATGATAAAATAGTCCATGTGTTTTTCCAGAAACTTTGTTCTTATAGTATATATATATATATGTGAGTTTCTTAAAAAATTCCTTATTGGAAGGCTGATTCATGGTTATAAATGACATGTGTTACAAGTGGTTTTATCAAATTATCATATAGGTTGTACTCAGCTGATGAGAATTGATGAAATAAAATGGATACGTATTATTCTGTACTAATGTGTGTCCTATCTCCGTTCGTATTTATAGAGGGAAACTCAAATATGAAGTTTATCTAAATTAGCGGAACCAAATTATTTGTTGTAAAGTATTAAAATTAATCCCAGAGTGTTTAGGAAAAAATCAAAACAAGATCTGTTTTCTGAACGTTTCGCTGTGTAAGCCACAGCTTCCTCAGTAGCAGAATTATTTGGATTTTATTATTCATCAAAATATATAGTCAAAAAGTTTTACATATCGAAAGGATACAGCTGAACAACTTCAAAGACTATTTGCTTTATATAATATTAAAGTTTATTTCAAGCCTTCAAATTCTCTAGAGAAAGCTTTGGTAAATGTCAAAGATATGGTTCTCGAAATGTCACAAAGTAATTGTGTCTATAGAGTAGCGTGTTCAGAATGTGAAGCTTGCTATGTAGGGGAGAGCAGTAGACAGGTGAAGGTTAGAGTGAATGAACATAGACAATGCACGAAACATCCATCTAGAGATGAAGTAGAATTAAAGAGTCGGGAGAAAATATCGGCTATAGCAATGCATGCGATAGACAGTGGACATAAGATTGATTTCGACAGTGTCGAAATTCTTGGAAGAGGATTTCATTCAACACATAAAGAAAGGTTGACCTCTGAAGCCTTGCACATTTCAACCACATCGAATGTGGTAAATAGGAAAGAAGGGATAGACTTATCACCTACATGGCAAACTGCAATGAAGCAAGACAGGTGGGAAAACAAAAAAACTCTATGAACCTCCATGACCTTTAACAAATGTATAATCGTGTTTATCACATGTGAATTCACGTCTCTTACATAAGACAAACAACACTCGTACAGAAATATATACATAATAAGAATTTGACACTAGTCATTACAAATATACGATGACTGCTTACATATATTTTCATTGGTACAAATATCTATGGACAAGAGACCTTCAAATGAACTGACTTTAATTTATGTAAAAATGTTTTGACTATATATTTTGATGACTAATAAAAATCCGATTAATTCTGCTGAAGAAGCTGTGACTTACATAACGAAATGTTCAAAAAAATCTTGTTTTGATTTTTTCTTAAACACGCTAGGATTAATTTAAATAATTCATAATGAATCAGTCTGACTTGACGTTCAAATTATTCCAGGAAGTTAGTAACATCTACGGTCTGGAAACTTATAATGTTGTTAAGGTTATTTGAACTTCGTTGACTTCGATTAAACTCTGCTGAGCGGATAAGGACAGATGATTCAATTGGGTTGGAAACAAAGAAAAGTGTTAATTATTTTAGATTGAGTTTCTCCTCTGATCTTTCCTGGCCTTTTCACGGTCTGTGGATTTCTAGGAAAATGAAATATTTCTCGTTGGATTTTTGAACATCACCCTGTGTGGTTAAGTAAAGAACAAACAAAAATCTTTTCATAGCGCTATTCTATCTTATCTTTTGGATACAGAACATAAGATCAAAGTTAAAGAGGCTTTCAGAGTCATTTATCGCACACCAACTAATCTTAACTTCACCTTAAGAGCTCGTTTACTACATATTGCTGAGGCTCTTGGAATCTACCTTCAGACAATATCTTTACATTGGCCAACTAGGTTTGAATGATCCTCAATTTTTTCGTAGAGATTTCCTTAATTTTAGTTGATATTCTATTTGCTATTATATCTTTATTACTATTATTATTATAATTTAAGCATCTTTAATGAACTGTAATTCCATTGTGATCTTACTTTACAAATCGATATTATTTAAAAAGCACACTAATATTGTTACTGACTACTAATCTAGAACATTCCATGTATATAAACATATAGAAATATAATTCTAGAGCATGGAAGAGGAAATTATCGAGAAGGATATTCTTTGCTCAATTTAACCATCTACGTTATGAAGTTAAGAGAATCTAATATCACTTGGCTTTCAGTTTTACTGTTTGTTAATTCCTACATTTTAACTCTTCTGCTAAACTGCTGCCTCTTATTCTTTCCTGGACTTCTTAAAAATACTCATATTTCCAAAGGTGTCTAAAAGCTGTCGGTAGAGTGATCAGTGTGCCAACTTGTTGATGTTATTCTCGACAGACATTGGCACTTATACAAGAAATTAGCAAGACGCATCTTGTACGACTCTTATTATATTTGTTATTCTTTTGAGTTCTCAGTGGAACATAGGGATTCAACAGCAAACCTTCAATTCACCGTATTCTTTCTAGTCCTCTTTATGTGGTTGCGTGGTTGCCAGTAGGATTCTCCTCCTTAAACAATGTTATTTGTATTACTCTTGGACCCATACCACTCGTTTCCCATTTAGGTTCCACTCGAGCAATGGCCTAGCATGCGATGTCCTCCAGTGGTCTTCTCAGTGTATGTCCAATCAATCTGTATTTTCTTCTGCATAACTGCTGATCATTAGGTTGTTGGTTCGTTCTCAGAGTTTTATAGAAATGCTAATCATTTCTGGTCTATCATCTAATCTTCAGTATGAAGCGAGTACAGTCATTGAGAAACGTGTGAGCCCTGTTGAAAATGCATCTGGCGACAATGAGAGGTTTTGAACAGTCAACAAGTACTGACTTAAGATTGGTGTCAAAAATCCTAGGATTTCCAAACTGATTTTAAAGTGATGAAGGTGTGCCTTGACTTTCTGATTCTGGCTTTTACATCATCATCAGTTCCACTCGTTCTTGAAACTATGCTTCCTAGATAAATGAAGGAAGAGACCATTACCACCTCTTTTTTCTCTATCTTCACTTGGAGCTTTGTTTTTGTTTCTTGCCTCTATTGCTAACTTCTGAGTCTTCAACTGTCTATCTTCGAGTGTGTGCGGTATAAGACATCAATCAACCACGGAGCCAGGCTATTTTAAAGTCATCTAATCTGTCCGAAGTATTCCTGTCCTCTTGCTTCCTACAATCGTTTGCATAATTGAGTCCACCACAACTAGGAATATCATCGTTGATTGTTGAAGAAACATTTCATTCATAGGGAAATATTCATCTGACTCCTCCATCACAACTCATAGCTTAGGTGAATTCACCTAATTCAGTAGTATGAACGGGAATTTTTAATTCACGACATGTAGGTATTACTTATTTTGCTTATTGACAGCTTTATCAGGATAATCCTTAGAAACTTTTCAGTGGGTTTTCTACAGATCACTGAATATTACTAAATTCTCCGAAATAGTTCGTTCTACTGTGGGTTATCTCTAAAGATAGGAAACAGTCTGCTAGAAGGTGTTTTTATGTTTCTGTCGGCTTTCAATCCAAATTGATATTAGCCACAAAATCTGTGAAAAAACAGGTAACTCGTGGTAGATCACTAGTCATCTATGCTTCCACACCTCGAAGTTAACATGAAACAGTGGGCTGATGCCTCAAGAATTTTGTTATTGGCAGTAAATCAAGGTTTATGAAGACTTCAGATAGTTTCTTTTACGCTCCCAGTGAAACATAGGGCTTCAAGCTAGAGGCTTCAAGTTTCGATAGCGGTGTTGTTTATTTTTTAGGGATGGGGTTGCTAGCCAGCCTCATGCCCAACCTTGCCTCTTTGCCAGCTGTATTACTAGCTTAGACAGGTAAAAGAGTACGTTGCCCGAAGATCGAACCCC